CACTGCTGCTCAATGCAATCTGGACCGGTTTTGGGGCTACATCACGCAACTTCCTCCTCTTGTTCGCCGCTCCTCGCGTCGTCCGCTGTCGAGTGTATGCCCCCATCCCGCCCAAGTACGACTTCTTCCCGTATCCACAATCTGCACCCCACCACGCAACCACGCAGCTGAGTACAGAGCTCCTTAGCTTGCTGGACGCAAGCCTCATAGAAGTCCAGTACCAACCATCAGCACGCCCCCACACAATCACCGCATCCTGCCCACCCCCATAACAACTCTCCCTCCCCAACATCCCCACCATCACGCCACGCATTCCTCCTACCTTCGCTGCACCCCGAATCCGTCGACTCCATCTCCGCATGCTGCCGTTTCGCCCTCGTCCCGCCCACGTGGTTGCGCTTCGCAACCTTCACGGCCCTCCGCACCTTCAAGCTCCTGCTGTACGATTCTAGCTTCGTCGTCATTGTCTCCGGGTGAACGCGCTGCGACGTCCCATACCCGTGCTCCTTCTTGTAAAACTTCCCCTCCACTCTGCTCATCACCCTCCTCACCATCGGCCGACTGCTCTTGCACTCCGCCACCCCTGGACTTGCCACCGCCAACCTCCCGCACGAACCCCCCCTCCCTTTGCTCTTCCCCGACACCACCACCTTCCTCTCCTCCACCTCCACCTCCACCTCCATGCTCCCCGCATCGTCATCCTCCATCCCTTCCTCGCCTTCCTCCATCACCTCCGCCGACTCCCCGTACTCTTCGCTCTCCGACATCTTGCACTGCATCTGCATCTCCGCAACCGACGTCGCCGACCTCTTCCACCCCTCGCAACCACCTCCGTCCATCGGACCGCACACCCCCTCTGCCTCCATCGACTTCGAGCACACCAGCGCCTCACTCACCACCGCTTCCGACTTCGATGACGCCTGCTTCACGCCCACGCCCGCTTCCACCACCACCATCTCTTCTCCCACCACCTCCACCGCTGCGTGCGTCCTTTCCTCCGCTGCTGCGCCAACCTCCTCCGTAGAATACCGCTCCACCTCTCTGCTTCCGCCATACGTTCCCGAAACTTGCACCATCTCCTTCACACCGCAGCGGGGCGACCCCACTTCGCCTCCAGCCTGCGTACTCGACATGTCACTATCACACACAGGCGCCATCACCTGCAATCCTCCGCCAACTTCACCATCAGCATTCCGCATCCACTGCACATCGCTCACCTCAAAACACGCATCTACCGCACCCTACACTCCCCACCCTCCACCACCCACATCCCATCCTCAACCAACATCGTCGCCGCCACACTTACCACGCCTTCCATCGCCGACCCCTTCGTATGTACAACCGCTCCGCTGCCCTCGTCCACCGCCACATCCTTCACAAACGCCCCCCGATCCTCTTCCTGTGCTGGACTCCGCGCCCCACAGCTCGCGCTTTCACCATCGTTGCTGCCCTCGACAGACACCTCGTCCACCGAGCTCACATGCGTCACGCCCCCTGCATACGCATTCCCGCTTCCACTCGACTGCGGTTTGTCCACGGACGTGAAGTCTTTCACGCTGTCCAGCCCTGATATCTGAGAATCCATCCCAGACTGCGACTTGCCCCTCGCGCCTTCGCCATCACCCTGCTTCGCGCCGTTCGGATCGTCGCTTCTCGCGTCTTGCAGTATCTGGCCTGCCACCGTCGCCAGCAGTTCGAACACTCCAGTGCGAGCCAGGTTCACGCCATGCCCCTTCGCGGCATCGCCTGATCGCCCCTGCACCTCAGTCACACGTGCATCACGTTAGAGGAATGAGAAACCATTCGCCAGATTCATGCAAGGAAATCTCAGCTCCTGCGACACAATTACGCTGCAATCGCCGAGGCATCTACATACCGATGCTGGACTCATTGCATTCATGCCAGGGCAGACATCGTACCCGCTGCGACCGCAGACCACGCGGAAGCGCAGGGCCATCGTATCCGGGAAAACCGCCACCAACTCTTCGAATTCGAGGCTCCATCTTTGCTTACGTGTACGTCAAACGCTAGCCATTACCAGTAACTTCCTGAATGTGGTGTGGATTTTCAGCGGAACCAAGTTGTTGAGGTTTCTGGTAAGAGTAGTAGCATGACAAGAAGTGCTGCAAAGCAGGAAGCAATTAGTATTGGGATTTGCAAATGTACAGAGTTTAGGGGCGTGGTGTTGGATTCAAGAGTTGTGCATCGACTACAACCTGTTTGTAATTCAGTTGGTGTTTATGGTGGTTTTGACATTCTTTTTGGACAAAAAAAATCACAGCTGTAAGTTAAACAGTTGAAAAATAAACAAGTATCCACCTCAAGTGGTTCATGCAGTTCTGTAGGAAGCTGCGTTACACAGAGTAGTGATCCGAACGATATGTATTTTTGACAGTTCCTGGACTACTTCGTATTAAAAGCGTGTGAAGCATTTGTTGGTCCAACGGCTGCATATTCCTCAAGTTGAACGCAGAGCATAGCTACGAAGAACGACACACTTATGATAGTGCCATAGAACGCGGCACGCATACGTTATACGAAGTTGCAGACAGAAACTGAGCCACTTCGATGTGTGCAGAAAGCTGTGACTTCCAACATATGAAATTGATGGGAACATTACTACGAATATAAAAGGTTTGAATGGCATATAGGAAAAAATTCTCCCAAATCTGGACTTCATAAATCTCGATGCATGCTACTGTAGGCTTAGGAATTCATTACTAGTTGCTGTAAAGATCTCCACCTATCTAAGGTAGCAACAAGCACTCCGAAGAAACGACTGTTAAGTAAAGACGTTAACTTAAACCCTCAGACATACTAACCCCTCAATAACGCTTCGTCATCACTTACGACTTCAGAACGTTTCATGGAATTCGGACTTCATTTCAGTAAACTGTAACACACGGAAGACAGAAGGTGCACAGAGGCAGGGTTTCGAGTAGTCCCCCATCGCCCCCCGATCGTCCACAAAAACCCCGTCAAAACCCTTACTCAACCCGTAAAGACACTGCCTGACTAAATAGAACCTTGCAGGAAAATAGGCCGCACTGATACTAAGCAATACGAATTTCGGTAGACGAACTTATCCAATGAACACAAAATCTCGGCTCAAAAGCTGTCCACTCTCGACTAACATACATATGCTGTTCTTTCATTTTCAGCTATCTGCACTCCACGGACCCACAGAAAACTTCGCTGGAACTTAACGCTTAACTGCAGATCGGCTTTCCTATAATTCCCTCGCACTACGCAACCAAGTAAAAATGACAAAAATTAACCAAGTACACCACAACCGCAATGATCACTGCGTCACAACACCGCCACTCACCCCTTGCACCAAAACCAACCTTAACACACAGTAAATAGCTGCGTCAAAATCATCGGTGTGTTGAAACGACAAGACAAACAGCTTAACTGAAACTAAACGCTGTCTATTCCAGCACAACTGTTTCGATGTGAACGCCGATAGCGTAGCCCGAGACTCAGATCTGATGCGTTGACCACAACGTGAACGCCACGAATAGCGCTGATCAAAGCCCCGAGCGGTCACCACAAAAACACTTAAACCGGATAACAGCACCAACACTATAAAATGGTAGAAACAACTACGCCAAAGCAAGTCCACATCAGACCAGCTTGAAAGCTCTCTCAGTCTGCACATTACTACTCGATCATGATTTCTTTCAAACAATTTAAAGAAACCACTGCCAAGAACTCTTGTTCCTAACGATCACCACTCAATCACGCCCCTAACCCCTCAACCTTCGACCTTCAACCTTCAACTTCACGGCCACCCTCCCCTCCTAACCCAACCCAATCATACTACTTCTCCACCACCACTTCTTCTCCACTCCTCGCTTCCATCTCAAACTCCTACGACGCACTCCACTCCTCCCACACAATGCATCCCTCTACACCACTCCCCGAATCCAACACCCTCTTCTCATCCCGCATCCACAACAACAATTCCTCCCCCATCTTCCCACTCAACTGCCCCACACTCGACTCCTTCCATGTCCACCACCACCCACCACGCTCCTACCATCAATCGCCCCACCATACACCCGATCTCAATCATCCCTCTCCCACGCTCCTCGCACCTACCTCACACTCCCTCCCAACATCCACTTCATCCCTACCTTCGCCACAACTCTTAGCTCTCCACCATCAAAATTACCCTCCCTCCACCCCGGCCTCTCACAACCAACGCGCCCACACTCAATCCCACAAACCGGTCCTCCCTTCCACCCGCACCCGCCCTCCCAACCTCCCACCATCGCCTTCCCGCGCCAAATCACATCAAAAACCCCGACAACACCGCCACCCCATTCAATTTCCAAACCCTTCCCAGAGTCGAGTCCACACCTTGAACACGCCACCGATTGCAAGATGCACGCCCAACACAGGGACGCAAATGCCCCGATCGAAGCCGCACCTTGGTACACCAACCCGCGCGCAACCAACACCTCACCGGCGCCAACGAATTGGAGAAGCAACGCCCAGAGGTTCCAAAGGAGAATGGAGAAAGGTAAGCCCAGTCTCAAACGCAGACACACACAGCATGCAAGTCATGGGACGAGAGAGGGGGAGCGAAGAAGCAGAAAACGAGTCCGTCAGGAGAGACGACGAAAGCAACATCCCTTCCCAAGTACCACGACGTCGCACGGGCCACCCGGTCAGCCCGCGTTGCCATCTGCCCGGCCGGCAGCCATACCCGGGGTATACGGGGGGATGGAGGGAGGGGCAGCGCGGGTCGTGGGCGGGGTTTGGGTGCCAGGAGAGTGGGTGGCTGTGGAGTGGTGGGGTGCCCAGTGTCACGAATGAGCTCTCATGGAAAGAAAAAGCGCACCTGGGGGACGACGACCAGGGGTCACTGCCCGCCGGGCAGCTGACCGGACCCTTCCCCACCCCCCCACCATCACCAACCATGTGCATAATCTTCCGGTCGGTAGAGAACAAGCAACCCTTTCCTTCCTGAAGTGGGAATTGTTTGGTAAACTACAAATAGGATTTACCATAGAATAAATTTCCAGTTTATACTTCTTTAAGAGAAAGTCCATCATGGTGTTGATCTTGAAATAGAGATGGAGATGATTAGTGAAGTCAGTTGTGTTTATAATGTTTCATTTTTCAACTTTATAATTTGCACTGAGACCTCAGAGAATGTGTAGAGGCTTTAAAACTAACTAATTTATTAATCGGTTTCTTTTTTACCGAAAAGAAATTTCGCAATAAGCAAGGATTTTTTGTTTTTCTTATCTTTTATTCTTAATGTTTTGAAGTATATAAATGCGTGCAATATTTATCAGCCACAAGTACTCAACTGTGTTCCAATGTTTTCAGGTACACATTATTGTTGTATGCAATTATTGAGGGGTTTCTATCAAGGGTTTTAGGTAGCATGACTGTTTTTCTTAGTATTATTATTTTAACCAGAATAAGTGGTTTTTATTTCAGGTATTTGAAATGATGCTTTTCACAATGAATGTCTGCATGCATGATTACATTCATCCAATAAGTTCTTGTTGTTCACATGCATTTGTTTATACAACATGTTTGAGTCTTTTGAGCCAGTCAAGTAGCATTGGTAGTTGTTATTAGTTCCATTGAAGGTTCCCTCATTCACTTGTGTTTGTATTACTTTGACGCACATATGAAGCTTCTTAAACCCATAGTTTTTGTTTTAGTATATTTTCCCAAGTACAGATTAACAGAGAAGGTCGAGGAGCCTGGTCTAATCATGGAATAAGCAAAAAATCATTGCATGCACTAAGATACTACTGGTGAATTCAATATGTATTAATGTTAATATGGATGAATAAATGAAATAGATAAAACAATAAATATGGAGGGTTTGATAGATTAATTTGAACAAGTAAGTCAGGTGCTGATTTCAAACTTGCTAATTGCCAATTCTTTCTTTTCTTTTTCTTTTCTTTGCTTTTTTAACACAGTTTTCCGGAATTGGTACAATGCAAAACTAGCATCACATCTTAACAGCTTTTCTGCATCAAATATACAATTCTCTTGTTTACTTGAAAGACAAAGAGATACTCAAGCCAATTGATGTTTAGAAAAAGGAGATAAACGTTTTTCTTACCTTTTCCTTTTCCTTTTCCTTTTCTTTTTCCACTGTCTGTGTGGTTACAGTTTTTGGGACCACCCTCATTATACAAACAAAGGATGTAATACAATAAGTAAATGGGTATCATGTAGTATAATAAGGCTGTTTACCAAACAGAGCCAGGCTTTATTTATTGATTTATTTATTTATTTACTCATTTATTATTGAAATGGCCTTGATGTGACCATCGGCAAACACAAGGGGGAAGGGGGGGGGGCAGTCAAAGTACACATAGACACTACCCTACAGACTCTTCCTCTGTATTTTTTTTTCTGTTTTTTTCCCCACCCCCCAAACTGACTCAACTGCATTGTAGTTTTGTAATCTGCCTCTGCTGCTACTGCTAAGACCAACACCACAGGCTCTCTCTCACCCTCCATGGATGGTAAATGTGTTGCCCTCCTTCACCTGTTGAGAGGGAAAGTACTCTCTTGTAATGAATGAGGCCATGTAGGAAGAATGAAAAAAGTAGCCCTCCCCCTCTGATTGGAAGGCTGTGGCTCAGCCTTTGATCGATTGGGATGGGTATGAGCCCAAACTTGTTGGTTCAACATAAGTGAAGGAGGATTGGGGCCATATCAATAGTGTAAATATTAGTAGTAATATTGGAAGTTGTAGTAGTAGTGTGTGATTGAGCACAAGAAGCAGAGGAAGCTTAGCTGTTCTCCACATCGAGAATCAGAATGGTTGACAGCAATGCTGGCAGAAGCAAAGCACTAGTGCAAGGTAGGGGGCAGACACAGCAGAGCAGGGGAGGAGGGTGTGATATGAGTGAGCTGCATTATTGCCTGACACACTTAAGCTCATTGCCCCCTAGTACCAATGATGCCCTGCCTGCCCTCCCTCTTGATGTTGAATAATCAGGATGAATTCTCCATCTGTAACAAAAGGAAATCAAATAACCATCCAAATTTGTTTATTTTGAACTGTATATACATGGATACATATTCAATCGAAATCTTCACTAAAACAGAACCAAAAAATTAACGTTTTTATAATTCAAAGTTATTCGAGTTTAATGGCTTGACAGCAAAGAAGGGATGTTGGAAGAAGAAGCCCAAGAAGAAGGTAATTTGCTACAGCCTTTGTATGCATGTCTGTTTGTTTGCATTACTTTTGTGTTTTTTCGAACCATTCTCCTCGCCATTTTCATGTATTACTTAACCCTAAGTTCCTCTCAATACCATTCAATCTTTCAAAAAAAAAATAATACCCAAGTGAGGTGTTGTATCAACTACACAAATACTGCTGTGATGGGATCCCTCTTTTGCCCTACATGCTGTCATTGCTATTGATAAGGTTCTGAGATTGTGAAGGTCCAAGTGTACATTGTAAGGTCACTCAGAGAGCAACTGAAAGTTCAAACCAACACCCTTGTTCCTCACATCCTAAAGGAACACTTACTTCTGTTAATTTATTTAGGTGTGTGTGTCCTCTCTAACTTCCAAATGTAAAATGATTCAAAAGTACGAAAAATTGGATTATAAGGTGTCATAACCCCAATTGTTGCAGCTTCCAAATCTCAAAGTCCTGTTGTCCTGTTCACTAGCTTAGATGCTCAGTAGCTCAATTTCATAATAGCTTGTGGACATAAAATACTATGCCATGATTTATTTGTGTAAGAACAAAGTAATTTTTGAGTATGTGCACATACATACATGACACCCTTCCTTTCAATTTTAAACCTGGGGTTTTGGAGGATTTGAGCATTCATACAGTTTCATGCTGAAGTACATGTGTCAACATAGCATGGTTTGAGGAAAACCTGTGGGGCTTGTGCATGGTGCAATGCTTTTCCTCTTGATTTGCTGTAAAACCTATTTACCTGGATTGGGCTTGCTTTATATTCATGCTTAGACAAGAGGGAGGATTCTATTGGTGACTGCAATAGAATAAGTCTTTGGTGCCAAGCAGCTACTTGGAAACTTCATATTGGTGAAAGAATTGCTTTGTATCTTCACAGATCCATGGATGGATGCCAAACTGCACCAGGGTAATCCATCTTGAACTGCTTGATCCCTTCTCTCCATGTTTTATGTATGCAAGTATTTTTGTGTACATTGTTTATATTCACATACACATTCTAAAACTCTTTTGCAGAAAATAAATAAATATGCAAAAAATTGGTTGCACAGTGATTAGAAAATATTTTCATGAGAACATCTTAGATTTGCTTGTGTGTAAGATGAATCTGTACCAAATATGCAAGGATGTTTTATGAAAAAAGCTTTACATTGTGTGGATTTAATTTTGAAATGTTATTGATGTAAAAGTGAAGTAATTGCTTATATTATGATGCTAAAAATTTACAACATGCCAAATCTAGTTTTGTGTTCAACCCCACATGATACTAATGCTCATCCTGAGAAAGTATCAAAGCCAAAAATCTACCATACATGTAAACAATGAAAACAAACCAATGTTCTTTTTGAAGAGGAATTAAAGTGAAGGTCAATTTGTTTTTGTGTTTGTTTGGATTTGAGAGTTCCCACATTGATGTTTTTATTCTAATTGTATGTGAATTAAGGGAATTGAAAAACCACTATGCTCCATTGCATTTGTTTTTTTGACAATGAAAAATGCACAAACTTTATTTGCACACATCACTGAAAAAGACCTAATTGTCAAACTTTGATTTCTTAAGCTTCAATAAAAAGGTCAGCTTTGAGGTCAATTCCTTTTCATGATAAGAAGGGTGATTTCAAATGCAATTGGAATGAGATGACCAAGGTGGGTGCATTCTAATAAAATATTGAATGAGATGACAAACATTTCTTTTACACTGCATATTTGGAAGCAATGAATTCCTTCTGTTTGGGAAATTATTTAGATGACACAGAACATCCAATCATGGATGACGATTGACACGTGTCGGTGTTTGAGGGTCCATCATTGACTTTTTACAGCTAAATTTTACACTTCTCACATGCTGATTGGAAACAATTTCGATTTTGTACACTCTGTTGTCTTTTTGGAGGATAAAAACAAATGGCCAATAAGTAAAAGAAAGATGAAGACATAATAAAGAAAAGTGGGTTTGAACAAGCAAAGTAGCTTACATTATAAATGGAAATGTCCACAGTGCCAAACAGTTTTTTAAGCAGCTGAGTGTTTTCTCCTGTCATGCCTTCCTGTTTTTTTATGTCATTTTAACATAAGAGCAAAGAAACCTGGAGGGAGACTTCCAGCAGGCTTTCAAATTTGGTGACCTGGCTGTGGTGCAATTATAGAGGCTCTCTTCCTTGACCACTCCAGACAACCAAGGATAGATTCTCCAATTTGTTTCACACAATTTATAATATTCAACATAAGAAAAAATTAAAATAATATATATATATATATATATATATACACAATTAAACATGGAGGTTCTTAAAGTGAATCCTCATGTTTAGTATAAATACATGCAGGTCAACCTTCACTTTTAAATTTGACATTTTCTTTTGTGTTCAGATAATATGTGATGGTGATTCTATGGTGATTGGTTATCATGGCTTTGGCTTTGGCATTCAAATATGAAATGGGAATTAT